AGGTGAACTATAAATCCCAGCAACTACAACTCCCAAATGACAAAATCAAAAATTTTTGAGTGAAGGCCATGCAATGGGTTGTTAGGTGTATACTGTCCAAATTTGGTGTCAATTGGCCCACTGGTTTTTGAGTTCTGTTAATCCCACAAACAAATATTACATTTTTTATTTATATAGATTTCAGGGGTATTCTCTTTTGTTGAATATCTGTGTTGCATGTTTGTTGAGCAAGTCTTATTACATCTTAAGTGAAAACTTAACAGTCAATTGAATCCTTTTGTTAACATTAACCTTCTGAACTTTTGAAACTTTTACTGTACGAGACTAATGAATTTTTTGCTATATCAAATAAGTCTAGATCCATTTGGTTGACTGAAATGAAATAGAAGAAACTGCACAATTGAATGCAGAAGAAAACTCTGGCAGCAAAACAGTCTTGTCTTTCAGCAGTATTTTTCACATAAAGTTATCTGCTCCATTAATAAAACTCATAGTTGAAGAGCCCTTTAGGCATATTCAGCACAAGCAAGTCAGTCATGATAATAAAATCACAGAACTGTAATATCCTGAGTTGAAATGGATTCCTATTCCAGTAAATTTCCAAATGTTGCTGAATAATGACACAAACAACTGAGTTGCTGACAATTCCAAAATAGTTTCCTCTTCAGACATGGACCAGTGACTGATGGCAATTAGAGGTAGGTGATTTAGCATAAGTAGAATTTGTTGCATTTATCTGTTATGTAGTGGGGCCAGAACTATTCAGTAAGCAATAACAGTAACATTACTTGCAGACAGGATTTTTTCTTTTAATATTTATGTGTTGTTGGGTAATTCCATGCTTATGTTGCTGTTACTGTTATTTTTGGTTCATGTTGTGACTCTGTATATTTTGATGTTGTTGCTTGGAAACCGCCCTGAGTCCCCCCGGGGAGACAGAGTGGTATATAAATAAATATTATTATTATTATTATTATTATTATTATTATTATTATTATTATTATTATTATTACCTTCCTCTATTCCAGTGTTTCTCAACCTGGGGTTCGGGACCCTTGAGGGGGTCGTGAGGGGGTGTCAAAGGGGTCGCCAAAGACCATCAGAAAACATAGTATTTTCTGTTGGTCATTGGGATTCTGTGTGGGAAGTTTGACCCAATTCTATTGCTGGTCGAGTTCAGAATGCTCTTTGATTGTAGGTGAACTATAAATCCCAACAACTACAACTCCCATATGTCAAGGTCTACTTTCCCCAGACTCCACCAGTGTTCTCATTTGGGCATATTGAGTATTTGTGCCAAGTTTGGTCCAGATCCATCATTGCATGAATCCACAGCACTCCTCTGGGAATAGGTGAATTACAACTCCCAAACTCAAGGTCAATGCTCACAAAACCTTTCCAGTGTTTTCTGTTGGTCATGGAAGTTCTGTGTGCCAAGTTCGGTTTAAATCCATCGCTGGTGGCATTCAGAATGCTCTTTGATTATAAGTGAGCTATAAATCCCAGCAACTACAACTCCCAAATTACAAAATCAATCCTCCCCCCAACCCCACTAGCACTCACATTTGGGCATATTGGGTATTTGTGCTCAATTTAGTCCAGTGAATGAAAATGCATCCTGCATATCGGATATTTACATTATGATTTATAACAGTAGTAAAATGACAGGTATCAAGTAGCAACAAAAACAATATTATGGTTGGGGGTCACCACATCATATGGAACTGCATAAAGGGGTCACGGCATTAGCAAGATTGAGAACCACTGCTCTATTCTATTTGCCCTTAGCTACAGCCATTGCAGAAGCTGAAATGGAAGTGGATTTCCTCATTAACAGTATAAAACAGTGGTTCTCAACCTTCCTAATGCCGTGACCCCTTAATACAGTTCCTTATGTTGTGGTGACCCCCAACCATAATATTATTTTCATTGCTACTTCACAACTATAATTTTGCTCCTGTTATGAATTATCTTGTAAATATCCAATATGCAGGATGTATTTTCATTCATTTGGCACGAATACTTGATACACCCAAATTTGGATACTGGTGGGGTTGAGGGGAGGATTGATTTTGTCATTTGGGAGTTGTAGTTGCTGGGATTTATAGTTCACCTACAATATCAAAGAGCATTCTGAACTCCACCAATGATGGAATTGAACCAAACTTGGGTCAGTGAGCTCCCATGACCAACAGAAAATACTAGAAGGGTTTGGTGAGCATTGACCTTGGGTTTTGGAGTTGTAGTTTACCTACATCCAGAGAGCACTGATGGATCCGGACCAAACTTGGCATGAATACTCAATATGCCTAAATGTGGACACTGGTGCAGTTTGGGGAGGATAGACCTTGACATTTGGGAGTTGTAGTGGCTGGGATTTATAGTTCACCTGTAATCAAAGAGCATTCTGAACTCCAACAATGATAGAATTGGGCCAAACTTCCCACACGGAACCCCCATGACCAACAGAAAATACTGTATTTTCTAATTGTCTTTGGAGACCCCTCTGACACTCCCTGGCGACCCCCCCCCCCGGGGTCCTGACTTCCAGGTTGAGAAACACTGGTCTAAAATGAGTGACGCCTGTTGACATGCAAAGGTCTTGTGATCAACCTGACCTTGAATGGGAAGTTATGATCCATTAGACTCACATCTACTGTTTGTTGATGAGCAATCAATATAGGGCCCTACCTATTTAGACCCATCCTTGAAGATATGGTTTTATAGAATTCCACAGTACATGACTGCATACGTAACCATTAGGATTCCATCCTGGGCCCGGTCCTGTTCAACATCTTTATTAATGACTTAGATGAAGGGTTAGAAGGCAGGATCATCAAGTTTGCAGATGATACCAAATTGGTTGGGATAGCCAATACTCCAGAAGACAGGAGCAGGATTCAAAAGGATCTTGACAGATTAGAGAGATGGGCCAAAACTAACAAAATGAAGTTCAATAGTGACAAATCCAAGATACTCCACTTAGGCAGAAAAAATGAAATGCAAAGATACAGAAATGCAAAGACGCCTGACTCAAGAGCAGTACATATGAAAAATATCTTATTATTATTTGCTTTATTTCTATACCGCATTTTTCAGCCTGATAAGGTGACTTGGGGTCCTCGTGGACAACAAGTTAAACATGAGCCAACATGTGATGCGGTGGCAAAAAAAGCCAATGGGATTTTGGCCTGCATCAATAGGAGTATAGTGTCTAGATCCAGGGAAGTCATGCTACCCCTCTATTCCGCCTTGGTTAGACCACACCTGGAATACTGTATCCAATTCTGGGCACCACAATTGAAGAGAGATATTGACAAGCTGGAACGTGTCCAGAGGAGGGTGACTAAAATGATCAGGGGTCTGGAGAACAAGCCGTATGAGGAGCAGCTTAAAGAGCTGGGCATGTTTAGCCTGAAGAAGAGAAGGCTGAGAGGAGACATGATAGCCATGTATAAATACGTGAGAGGACGTCATAGGGAGGAGGGAGCGAACTTGTTTTCTGCTGCCCTGGAGACTAGGACACGGAACAATGGCTTCAAACTACAAGAAAGGTTAGGTAGATGTGTTAATAAAAAATCTTTCCCCCCGAAATACCTTTTCTTAACTTCATTTTACAGTTAGTTAATAACATTCCCTTTGCTTTTTAGCCAAGTGCTTAAAGCCTTGCCCTAGGACTGTCAATACAGATTTGCCAAGTAGAAAAAATATTCAAATGAAACCACAATACATTTTATTACACAGGGCTAATGTTTTTTTTCTTTAGTGCACTGAATTTTCATGTATTACTACCGTCTCTGTATATAAAGAGCTATAAAAGTTATAGTTTATTATAGTCTTTCTAAAGCCTTTCTATAGTTTGTTATTTACTGTTATATTTCTAATCTTTTTTTTAAAAGCAGTTCTTTGTTTTCCCATTAATCAGAACAAACTTAATGTTTTTTAAAATAAAATTCTGTTTTCTACAAGCCAGTGACCTGTAGTACAAAATATCTACGCTTCTCCTATCTCTTCATCACCATAATACCCACAAGAGAGCATAAAGCATAGCACAAGCCAAAGCTTGAACCATGTGATACTCACCTTCTTCCCTTTAGCGATGCCATACTTGGTAACTATCAAAAGATACGGTTACACCAAAGTAAAGGAATGACATTATCCCTCATTACAATTGTCATCCAGTTGAGGTCCCTTTACACTGGCATATAATCTAGTCTCTGAATCCAGATTATCTGCTTTGAACTAGATTATATGGCAGTGTAGATGCATATAATCCAGTTCAAAGCAGATCAGAAAATGGATTATATGGCAGTGTAGATCCAGCCTTAGTTATCCCTTAGTTATTGAATTAAGAAATTAAGGCAACTTTAAAGTGTGCATGTTCTCTCTCTTTCTCAATGTAATATATCAGTATATCAGAGAGTATATCAATGTATCAATGGGGGAAGGGGAAAGGAAAGTGAAGCATTTTGAAGAATTTCAAATTGGGATGAATGGGAACCAGGATGGGTTTGATAGAAGCAAGTCTCAATTATGAAAAAGTGGCACTGTTATATATCCATCTGAAAAGAGGGTGAGCATTGGATAGTGTGTGTGTGTATACACACACACAATTATCAAGTCTCAATTATGAAAAAGTGGCACTGTTACATACCCATCTGAAAAGAGGATGAACATTGGATAGTGTGTGTATAGTGTGTGTGTGTATAGTGTGTGTGAATGTGTGTGTGTGTATATATATATACATACACACACACACATACAATTATCAAGACTCAATTATGAAAAATTTGGCACTGTTATATACTCATCTGAAAAGAGGGTGAGCATTGGATAGTATGTGTGTGTGTGTGTGTGTATAGTATACACACACAATTATCAAGACTCAATTATGAAAAAGTGGCACTGTTATATGCCCATCTGAAAAGAGGGTGAGCATTGGATAGAGTGTGTGTGTGTGTGTATAGTGTGTGTGTGTGTGTGTGTATATATATATACACTCACACACAATTATCAAGACTCAATTATGAAAAAGTGGCAGTGTTATATACCCATCTGAAAAGAGGGTGAGCATTGGATAGCATGTGTGTGTGTATATAGTGTGTGTGTGTATATATATATATATACACACACAATTATCAAGACTCAATTATGAAAAAGTGGCACTGTTATATACCCATCTGAAAAGAGGGTAAGCATTGAATAGAGTGTGCGTGTGTGTATAGAATACACACACACACACACACACAATTATCTGGCTGAGAAAGAAATTAATATCCTTGAGCTGATAAAACAAAAATAACATGTATGCTATTTGTTGGGTCAAAACAGCAAATTCCTAAAATGGAAAAAGAACAAGTAAGCACACTTCAAAAATGTATATAGCAATGATAACTGAGATGTCTACATAATAGATGTTTTGTGGGTTAGAAGTTGTTTATAGCACAATCCCATGCAGTCTACATGGAAGAAAGTCTCACTGAGCTCACTACGTCTTACTACTAGGAAAGTGAGCATAGGATTGCTGCCTCAATTGCACATGGTTACTTTCAAAAGATATGCATGGTGCCTTACAAAAGGATTCAATGCACCATGAGTAGGCAATTCATGAAATATACATTCACACTTTTAAAAAACCTACTGTATAGGAGTTTCTAATTTCAGGTTTGTCTGATCTCTTATTGTATCTATTTCTGTTAAACAGATTTTCTAGCATTTATTTTTCTAGCATTGATTAGTGTTTAGTGATGACCAGTCACTATTAAAAGATGATATTCAAAGTTATGTGATTTACATTTTTCCAATTATCACAGTGTCAGTATTTCTGTTGGTTCTTGAACACTCAAAATTTATAGCATTGCCTGTTTAAAATGGAGTAGGAGTTTTAAAATCCAAGTGATAAGCTTTGGTATGGCATTTTCTCCTAACCTTTGGAAACTAGGTCACTTTCCTTCATAACGCATGGAAAAAAGCAACATAGCATATGGGACTTCCTGCAGTGCATCCTATACCACAATGACCCATAGTATCAGGATGAACTAAGGTCTTGCATTTCAGCAACTTTACAGTTACTTAACAAATACATGTTGCTTGTAAACCTTGAGTCTCCTGGCTTGTACTTTCCATTCTTGTTCACAGTTCTGGCATTGCTTTATAATTTCTTTTTGCAGGTAGGATCGGAACCAGAGGTGGTTTCCCCTCCGCTTTTTAAAGTTCTTCACTTTCTACCACCGGCTGGGGCGGTGATGAAAACCTCACAGGAGTCTCAACAGGAGAGAAAGCAGAAAAAATGTCGAGTCCTTGCCCGCTGAGGCTCGCGTATCGGGTGCCACCAGGGCGGATCTTTATTGGCTGAGGAATCTGTTGATGCCACTGAGCTGAGACAAAACATGAACACAAGACAAAAATCTCAAACATCTTAACAATCAGAGAAATGTCTACTTCTAGTTCAACAACTGAAACAGAAGAGTTAGTGATTTTTTAAAGTGCCCTGGAATAAAATTCATTTTGGCTCAAGGGGCAGGTAAGTTACAGTGGGTCCTCCGGATCCATGAGTTCTGGATCTGGGTTTCAAACAATTGCACATTTAATTCACGTTTAATTCACGATGTTATACTGACCTCACTACCTCTGAGGATGCTTGCCATAGATGCAGGCGAAACGTCAGGAGAAATGCCTCTAGAACATGGCTCTATAGCCCGAAAAAACCCACAAGAACCTAATTGCACATTGTTGTACCTAAAAGGGGATGACATGGATGCATGCATGCCACCACCATTTAACAACACAGCCCAACAACAAACAATATTTCTTGGTGTCTTGGCTTATAGGGTTATTTGGTACACTGATTCAGAAAACTGCATTGGATAGATAGCATCTGTTTTATTTATTTATTTGTTTGTTTGTTTGTTTGTTTACTTCATTTATATACCGCTTTTCTCAGCCCTTGGGCGACTCAAAGCGGTTAACAATAGCAAAATTCAATGCTCAACACCATAAAAACAGTTGAAAAACAATTAAAACAATGACATAATAAGCAATCAATTAAACATAACTAGAACATCTCATTAGCATCTCATACATAGAATCAAGATCCAATCTCATAATCCATTCCATATTCCTATATTCAATACACTGCCTATTCAAATGCCTGCTCGAAAACCAGGTCTTCACTTTCCTCCGAGGGGGCTGATCTAATTTCTGTAGGAAGGGTTCCACAGCCAAGGGGCCACCACTGAGAAGGCCCTGTCTCTCGTCCCTGCCAGACGTACTTGTGATGCAGGTGGGACCAAGAGCAGGGCCTCCCCAGATGATTTTAACGTCCTAGCTCAGGGGTCCTCAAACTATGGCCCGGGGGCCGAATATGGCCCTACAAGGTCATTTACCCGGCCCTTGCTCAGGGTCAACTTAAGCCTGAAATGACTTGAAAGCACACAACAACAACAATCCTATCTCATCAGCCAAAAGCAGGCCCACACTTCCTATTGAAATACTAATAAGTTTATATTAGTTAAAATTGTTGATTTTAATTATTGTATTGTTTTGAAGGTTTTTTTGCACTACAAATAATGTATGTGCAGTGTGCATAGGAATTCATTCGTGCTTTTTTCAAATTATAATCCGGCCCCCCAACAGTTTGAGGGATTATGACCTGGCCCTCTGTTTAAAAAGTTTGAGGACCCCTGTCCTAGCTGGTTCATAGGAGGAGTTTTAGTTTCTTGGGACCCTATCACATGCAATTCCCCCATTTCTTTTTCTTTTAAAATATTTTATTGGGGGTAATCAGAGGAAACAAGGGAAAGATTGGGAAAAAGTATTTTTATTTTTACATGTAAAGTGGGAGAACAATAATAAGATAGGATAGTAGGAAATCAATAAAGGAGTAAAGAAAAATATATTTTAAAAAGATGAAGGAGAAGGGGAAAGTACTTGGGGAAAAATGGGAATAACTTTTACCCTCAATATAGAATACCCTAGCATAGATAAAGACAATCCCTCCATTTCTAAAGACTTCTAAAACAGTTCCCTGACAAATCATCACACAACTCATCAAACAACAGAAACAGACGTCCGCCTGTCATCCATGATGCTTAGCCAGGAATCTGTTTTGGAAGTGTTTGGAAATGGGGGTGGGAGAGACAGGAGATGGGAAGAAATCGTCTTCTGAATTCATTATTCACACTGACTATAAAGATGTTGTGTACCTCTGATTAAATCATGACTACTTACCATAGATATCCAATCTAGCAGTGCAGGAGACAATGCCAACTTCGTTTTTTGCAGACAAAGTGTACCAACCAGCGTCCACCTTTTTAGCAGGTTGGATCAAAAGGCAAACATAGCCAGTAGCATCTTGATGCATGCTAAAACAAAAACAAATGATCTCTTTATAATTTACAGTTAAGTTTGACACAGCCTGGGCCAGTGTTACATTACAGTCATAAAAGAAAATCACATCAAAACAAAATGTGGGGAGTGGCTGCATTTCTATGGAAGAACATATGCTGGACATGCAGAGGGCTTCATTTTCAGTCTCTGGAAGCTGTCTCAGCTCTGCTGGGAGTTGCCAATCGGTAGCAATGCTGAATTATTATAAGACAGCGCCTTATATTCTGTGATCTCAGCCTTGTTTTTTTGTGTACACTCAGCAACCACATTGGTGCTGTCAGCAACTCTGGTGTGTTTTACAGACTTTCATTCCATTCAGGTCTAAAAAATCATCATAAGTAATAGGAATGTAATGGATTTGGCTTTTATAGCACATGCTCACTGTATAAATTCACACTACACTAGTGTTTCTCAACCTGGGGGTCGGGACCTCTGGGGTGGTCGCAAGGGGGGTGTCAGAGGGGTTGCCAAAGACCATCAGAAAACATGGTATTTTCTGTTGATTATGAGGATTCTCTGTGGGAAGTTTGGTCCAATTCTATCATTGGTGCGGTTCAGAATGCCCTTTTATTGTAGGTGAACTATAAATCCCAGCAACTACAACTTCCAATTTTTCCCCATACTCCACCAGTGTTCACATTTGGGCATATTGAGTATTTGTGTCAAGTTTGGTCCAGATCCATCATTGTTTGAGTCAACAGTGCTCTCGATGTAAGTGAACTACAACTCCCAAACTCAAGGTAAATGCCCACCAAACCCAGTATTTTCTATTGGTCATGGGAGTTCTCTGTGTCAAGTTTGGGTCAATTGCATCCTTGGTGGAGTTCAGAATGCTCTTTGATTATAGGTGAACTATAAATCCCAGCAACTACAACTCCCAAATGACAAAATCAATCTCCCCGAACCCCACCAGTATTCAAATTTGGGCATATCGGGTATTTGTGCCAAATTTAGTCCAGTGAATGAAAATACATCCTACATATCAGATATTTATATTATGCTTCATAACAGTAGCATAACATTACAGTTATGAAGTAGCAATGAAAATAATTTTATGGTTGGGGGTCACCTTAAGAAGAGGAACTGTATTAAGGGGTCGCAGTATTAGGAAGGTTGAGAACCACTGCACTACACAGTTAAAGCACTATGGTTCCATTTCCATTGCCAGGGCTGCATCCAATGCAATTTTGGGATTTCCCCCCATTTTTTTTTCCAAACGGTGGTTGGCTGAATAGTGGGATGCAGAACCCATGGATACAGAGTACCTATTGCAATATTATATTTTCATGTTACAATAGATACAAATGGAGTTTAAAGATGAGAAGGAATTCATTATAAGGCAACAGCCTGTTATTCCTCAGGTCTTCTTATGCAAAACAAACTTTTGAACAAGAAAATCCTCCCTTCACTTCAGTCCAGTGGTTCTCAACCTGTGGGTCCCCAGATGTTTTTGCCTTCAACTCCCAGAAATCCTAACAGCTGGTAAACTGGCTGAGATTTCTGGGAGTTGTGGGCCAAAACACCTGGGAACCCACAGGTTGAGAACCACTGCTTTAGGCTACAAAAGGAGGGTGTATCATGCCATTTTCATGGGAAACTACCTTGTCCTTTCTCTGTTGGGAGGGATGGTTTCATTGTCCTTCTTCCAGTAAAAGACAGGTGGTGGCATCCCAATCACCCTGCATTCTAGTCGGACTGGATGTCCTTCGGGCACACCACTGTTCTGTAACTTTTCCAGTATTACTGGTGCCTTTCTTACTTCCTTTGCTGAAAAAAGAAAAGATATCTTATGCTGCAAGTTGCTTTCTACCATTAGAAACAAAGAAAATCAAAACAAATGTCCAGAGAAGAGCCTGAAAAGTGATGACTTGAAAGGAGTAGGGACAGGATCTCACCTATAGATATAAAATGTGTTTCCTTGTTGGAAATGGCTGAAATCAGAAGATAGAACATGACCATTTTTAGCCCTGTTGAAAAGGATTGGAAAAGGTCGTTCTTTGTGAAGGGGGCATATTGTGTTAGATCAGGGATAGGAATCTTGTAGAACTTAGAATCATAGAATCATAGAGTTGGAAGAAACCTCATGGGCCATCCAGTCCAACCCCCTGCCAAGAAGCAGGAATATTGTATTCAAAGCACCCCTGACAGATGGCCATCCAGCCTCTGTTTAAAAGCTTCCAAAGAAGGAGCCTCCACCATACTCCGGGGCAGAGAGTTCACTGCTGAACGGCTCTCACAGTCAGGAAGTTCTTCCTAATGTTCAGATACAATCTCCTTCAGATGTTGTTGGACTCCATCTTCCATTATTCCTCTCCATTGCATCCCAACACCATCTAAATTTGCATGATTTGCCTCAGAGCCTAAATGATTAACTCTCTCCAGAGGTTGTTGGATTCTGATTCTCATAAAGCCCAAGAGAAAGAGATTTGGCGGCCTGCCACATCTAGAGGCCACAGGTACACCATCCCTACTTTAGAGTATCATGCAACAAAATATATTTCTATGATAAGAATTTTCTTTCAACTAGATACCTATCAATGGGGCATTCTAGTAGTGTGTATATAAATTATGACTGCTGCTCAATGTACATAGGGCCTCATCAGATGTAGCAAGAGGAATGTCTTCTCTCTGTTTCTCTCCACTGTTGGCATGGAGTCCCTTGGAGCCCATCACCATGATGCAGGGCTACTTCCAGAGGGACTCCGTGGGGCTCCATGCTGGCAGCGGAGCGTGGAGGAGTCGAGTATATACCTGACTCCTCACTGAACAAGGCGACAGGAGTCAAAGAGGAAACGGGGACAGATGGGGAAATGTTATGGGAAGGCAGAGGGTGGACACTGATGGTAAGGAACAGAGCATAATGGTTCCCTCTGCTGTCCACGATTTCCCCTGCTGTTCCCCACTTTACCCCTGGCCGTCTGATAAGGCCCTTAGATGTTATCCAACCTATAGTCTAGACCAGGGGTCCTCAAACTTTTTAAACCGTGGGCCAGTTCACTGTCCCTCAGACCGTTGGAGAGCCGGACTATAGTTTTTTTTTAAAAAAAAAATCAATAAAAAATTCCTATGCACATTGCACATATCTTATTTTGCTGTGTGGAAGGACCTTTAGAGGGGTTTTTTTCTAGCCCTCTTTAGGCAGTAATTCCAGGAGCAGAGAATGGGAAATCTTCCTATTTCTAGTCTGAACAAAATCTGGCTACCAGTATTAAAAAAACTCTAAAATTATAACTGTAAATAAAGAACAACACTCAAACACAGGGGAACTCCAGACAAGAAACAATCAGGGCCAGCTAATCACCTCTCAACAAAGGATTCTCCCTAAAAACTGTCAGGCTATGAAATGGTAATCAAGGTGGCCAATTGAAACATTCATACCTACCTCCAACAGACAAGAGTTCTTTCTCCCACCCTGGATCTTCCACAATTTTCCTAGTTAAAGGTTTTCCTCTGACATGAAGTCCAGTCGTGTCTGACTCTGGGGTGTGGTGCTCATCTGCATTTCTAAGTCGAAGAGCCGGCGTTGTCCGTAGACACCTCCAAGGTCATGTGGCTGGCATGACTGCATGGAGCACTGATGGGCAGCGTGAGGCTGCCAAGGGAGGAGCAGCCCCGCGTGGTCTACTCGTGCGTAAAGCACCTTGCGAGGTGCTTTACGCGTGAGTAGGCCACGGAGCAGCTGCCCTTGGCTGGTTCATGCTGCCCATCAGGCCTGACAGATAGCGTGAGCCAGCCAAGGGAGGGGCACTGTGTGGGGGGGAGGCGCTCCTCCTCCGCGGGCCGGATAAGTGCCCTTGGTGGGCCGGAAGTGGCCCACGGGCTGTAATCTAGGGAGCCCTGGTCTAGACATTACCACATGAAGTGATAAGTTTTCCCATCAACAGCAGGGGATGGGTTTGTCATGGAGAGATGGCAGACCACTGCCAACTTTGTGTGATAAAGTCTTCAATAAGTAGTTTGATACCACTGCAATGGGTTCACCCATGTAATTTTTGCTTACTGCAGTATACAAAATTATCTTCTGGAGAGCTCTTAGTACTTAGGTTAGAGAAATTACACTAGAGCTCTCAAGCAGAGAATTCTAGGTACTTCATTAAACTACATATCCCAGGATTCCTTAAGACTGACATGACTGTCAACATAGTATAAAGATATAACAGATGATATACACGCACAGTATATATTAATAAAGGTGAAAAGACAAGAACCATGAGATTACAGTTCATTATGTGGCCCCTGCATTAAAACATACAAACCAAACTCACCTACAACACTAAGCTCCAGACTGAATGAGTTTTGCCCCGTCTTATTAGTGGCAATGCAGGTGTAAGTCCCCGCATCATTCCGTGTGAGAGGGTCAATGAGTAGTGAGTGGACTCCAGTCTCTCTGACCAGCATCTTGTGAGTGGTGTCTGGTAATACTGGTCTGCCATTGAGAAGCCACATCAGCTCCGGAGGTGGTAAGCCACTTACCTAACAGATGAGATAAGAGCTATAGGCAAATGATGTCATGACCGTCCTATTGGGCAGTTGGCTAATTTATTCCTCATTGTACATGTTAATAATAATAATAATACTTTATTTATACCCCACTACCATCTCCCCAAGGGACTCGGTGCGGCTTACATGAGGCCGAGCCCACAATACATCAATAATAAAAATAATAACAACAAGAAATACAAAACAATAAAAATAAAACACATAACAGAAAATAAGCAATAAACATTAACAGTAACAGCATTTTTATCTAGAATTCCAAAAGTCCAAAATTGCCCACATGGGTAGCAGAGATAGCGAGATCTTTCCTTTCTCATGGTTCAATGTACACAAACTGTTTCATGCATGAAGTGATTTAAAATACTATATAAAATTACCTCTAGTCTATGTATATAAAACATAAATGAGTTTTGTGTTCGAATAAATGAGGTCATGAGTTCGAAGCCAGCCTGGGTTGCAGTGAGCTTCCGACCAATTTTGTGTAGCTTGCCGTCGACCTTTGCAGCCCGAAAGACAGTTGCATCTGTCAAGTGGGACATTTAGGTACCACTTATGCAGGGAGGCAAATTTAATTAATTTACGAGGCCATAAAAATCTCCAGCAAGCATGCAAAGAATGAGGAAGTACTTCATCAGTGTCACAAATGGCTCCCCTGGTGGCCAGAATACCCTCAAGAAAAGCTGGAATGTTAAATTGCCTCTGTGTCTGTCTATATATGTTGTGTGTCTATGGCATTGAATGTTTGCTATGTATATGTACATTGTAATCCGCCCTGAATCCCCTGCGGGGACTGTAAATAAATAAAATAAATTTTGTGCTTAGACATGGGTTTTTGATAAACATTATGCTGTCACATTTTTCAAACCCGGCACAGGGAACTTAACTACTTTCTACTCTTTGATTCTGTCATATGTTTGTCTGGGTATTCAAGAGCAGCCAGATTATGGAACATCTTATGTCAAGGAGATGGCCTTTGGTCTCCCCCTAGGCTTATGGTGTTCTTGGTTTGAACAAGTACATTTCATAAAGCTGCATTGTTAAAAAGCACACACTGGTTTTTCTATAAATGACATATCACCTCAACCCAGCCATCATGAATTCATAGAAAGTGGGGCACATTTTCTCAAGGAAGAGGGATAAATGTTAACACAACTTGGTGAGTCAAGGAATCCAGCTAACCTTGCAGTCTAACCTACAAAGCCGTCCTTCATGAGCAACCATGTCCCCAGGTGCCTGTAGAAAATACGGACGGAAAAAGCGCTCCTGTAGGGGCTCTTTATCTCCTTCAGGTATACGGGAACGTCCCCTGCAGTAAAATAAAACGTGAACAGGATCCCATGTCTTCAGGTAAGATTGAGCTCCTTCCAAATGCTTTTTCCAACCTCATTCCCTCGAGACATGTTTATTTATTTATTTACTTTATTTGTATACCGCTGTTCTCAGCCCGTAGGCGACTCACAGCGGTTAACAACAAACAGCAAAATACAGTACACGGTAAAAAACAGTAACATCATAACACCTAAACAATCCTATATAATTAACAACAATAGCCATTCACTGGCGTCTCATCACTGAAAACATGATCCAGATCCGTCATCCATTGTTCCATTCCTATGTTCATTACACTCATTGCACTAACTATTCGAACGCCTGCTCAAACAACCAGGTCTTCACTTTTTTGCAGAATACCATTAATGATGGAGCTAGTCTAATGTCCGTGGGAAGGGCGTTCCACAGCCGAGGGGCCACCACCGAGAAGGCCCTATCTCTCGTCCCCGCCAGCCGTGCCTGTGAGGCAGGCGGGATCGAGAGCAGGGCCTCCCCGGAAGATCTCAAAGTCCTGGTGGGTTCATAGGCAGAGATGCGGTCTGATAGGTATCTTGGGCCGGAACCGTTTAGGGCTTTAAAGGTCAACACCAGCACTTTGAATTGAGCCCGGTAGCAAATCGGTCAGCCAGTGGAGTTGGCGCAACAGGGGGGTTGTATGCTCCCTGCGTTCCGCTCCTGTTAGAATCATGGCTGCCGAACGTTGGACTAGTTGAAGCTTCCGAGCCGTCTTCAAAGGCAACCCCACGTAGAGAGCGTTGCAGTAGTCTAAACGGGATGTAACCAGAGCGTGGACTACCGTGGCCAAGTCAGACTTCCCAAGGTACGGGCGCAGTTGGCGCACAAGTTTTAATTGTGCAAAAGCTCCCCTGACCACCGCCGAGACCAGGGGTTCCAGGCTCAGCGATGAGTCCAGGATCACACCCAAGCTGCGGACCTGCGTCTTCAGGGGGAGTGTGACCCCGTCCAACACAGGCTGTAACCCTATGCCCTGTTCGGCCTTACGACTAACCAGGAGTACCTCTGTCTTGTCTGGATTTAGTTTCAGTTTGTTCACCCTCATCAGTCCATTACAGCATCCAAGCACCGGTTCAGGACTTGAACAGCCTCCTTGGTAGCAGGTTGGAAGGAGTGACAGAGTTGGACATCATCTACGTACAGATGACACCGTACCCCGAAACTCCGGATGATGATGTTGAACTAGAACATAATTGTTCCCAGCCAACCTGAGGCTGATGAAGAGTTATAGTCCAGCACACTGAAGGCACCAATTGAAGAAAGCTAGTTTAGAAATAAGGTTCTACTCAAGAACTCAGAGAATGTTCATATTGCCAGGAATACTCAGGTAACCCTCACAACCAGTGTAACAACTGTCAAAAAGGAGATTCTTGGCTATTTGTTTGTTTACCTGTGAGACTGGACAGCCGTTGTTAGTCTACCACGCAGTGGAGGAGTCTGAACCATCAAGTGACCAGAGCAGCTGATTCTTCCCTGCCAGAAAAAGCAAACAAAAATTAAGTTACATTATTCATCATGTGTCTCCCTGTCCACTGCTGAATCACTCTTCTCTTGTTATCTTTTGAGATTTAACATGACATAAATGTACTAGAACAGGGTTGTCTAGTCTTCAGCCTTCTTCACTTGAAGAAGAATTGTCTTGGGCCACATATAAAATACACTAATGCCAACGATAACTAAAGAGCCCTTTTGCTCTTTATTTTATTAGTTAATTTTAACATTTTTTTGTTTCTTCTGGCTGAACTGTTTGCAATCATAATGTGAATTATGTATAATACTCTGATATTTCTGGATCATTCCATTCTGTCCCATTGTTGTCTACGAAGTTCATGCCCAAGAACTCTGGAGTTACTAAAAATAAATAAATAAAAATATCACCAAAGAAATCTTATGTTTGAAGTAAGTTTACAATTTTATGTTGAGCCGCATTAATAGCTGCCTGACCCATGAGTCATGGGTTGGACAAGACTGTGTTATGGTATATCAATGATAATTGCCTTTCCAAAATATGTTTTTGCATACATCTCTCAAAGCCTGCATGTTGGGGAAAAATCTGATCTGGCCACGGTGGTCCATGCTCTTGTTATATCCCGAATAGATTACTGCAACGTGCTCTACGTGGGGTTGCCTTTGAAGACTGTTCAGAAACTTCAACTAGTCCAATGAGCGGCATCTAGATTACTTACTGGAGCAGCATACAGGGAACATACCACCCCTCTGTTATGTCAGCTCCACTGGCTGCCAGTCCAGTTCCGAGCACAATTCAAAGTGCTGGTTTTGACCTATAAAGCCCTATACGGTTCCGGGCAAGCTTACTTGTCCAAACGCATCTCCCCCTACGTCCCACCTTGAAGCTTACAATCTTCTGGGGATGCCCTGCTCTCGATCCCGCCTCTGTCACAAACGCACTTGGCGAGGACGAGAGACAGGACCTTCTCGGTGGTGGCCCCCCGCCTGTGGGACTTGCTCCCCAGCGAAATTAGGTCAACTGCTTCCCTCCTTTCCTTCAGGAAAAAGTTAAAAACGTGGCTATGGGACCAGGCATTTGGATAGTAGGTTGATAAATGATGACAATGCTATGGTAAATGGACTATGGACAGGTTTCGGACTAAGTTGTTAATTGTAGAACTCAGATTTAGATTTGGCCAACCAATTCAATTTGCACTATTTTAAATGGTTTCAATTTAAATTAATGTTTTACCTATTTTGTAACTGCTGTTTTATCTGTTTGTATATGGGGGGGCATCGAATTGTTGTCGGCTGTAAGCTGCCCTGATTCCCCTTCGGGTTAGAGAAGGGCAGGGGTACAAATATTTGAAATAAATAAATAATAATAACATATTTTTTAAAAATGAGATATAAAGCCCTACCTGTGGATTTGCAGCCATGATTGTGTAGTTCCCATCGTCATCATTTGTAGTTGTTTCAATATGTAAAGAGCAAGTTCCATCACCCTCTCTGCTCATCTGGAAATGTTCATTTCTCTTTGAAATTTGCTTGCCATCCTTGAACCAATAGACCTGGAGAGATTGTAAAGAAAGAGAGCTAGCATACATCATGTAGTGGCCAAGGCTGTAATACTTCGGGTCTTTTCCTAGGAGTAATAAAATCCCATTGGACTGATTAGAATGTCTTTCTTAGCAAACAAGGTTAGGCTAGATTCGAATGTACTATGTACTTTTCATTCATATAAACATAAAAAGAGCCAAGTTGGATCAGGTCCATGACGTAGATTCTGAGTCTAGATTCTGTTCCCACAGTGGGCAACTGGATGCTTTGCAAGAGAAGCCCACCAGCAAGGTGTGAGCTTGTTACCACTGGTTCCTTCAATTCAAATATATATGTGCGATTAAGGCTCCTACACTGTCATATAAAGTCCAGATTATCTGCTTTGAATTGGATTATATGGCAATGTAGACTCATATCATTCCTGTACTAGATGAGGAGGTATCAAAAGACCCCCTCCAAGGAGAGATTATGCTCCTGTGAGTCTGGACACATAGAAACAACTGAGCATGTGCTTCTTCAATGCATATTCTACAGAGATTTCTTAAAATCAGTGGATATGTGAAACCTTCTAAAACTTGATGGACTAATAGTGGTAAATGTGTGCTATCACTGTAGCAAGTTTTACTCCAATAGCTGTAACAATGAGGGGGAAAGGAGCACTTAAAGTTTCCCCACTTGTGCAATTAATATAATGAAAAATTAATGAAATTTCATTACTCTCATTACAGTAACAACGTTTTCATTAATGATACTTCAGATACACATTAGAAACAAAATGCTGGTGCCCCCTAATTTTGTAATGAGTTTTGAAACATTTTTTTTCATCGATTGCACAGTCCTAGTATGTGCAGTTCTTATAGGAAAAGGAGAATACAAAGATAATTTATATATATATACATATACATACATTTCTGAATCTGTATAAAATAGCAATCTTGAGAGTTCCTTGACTGGAAGCTATAACAAATAACTAATCTGAAATTGACTAGACTGATTTTGAAAATCATGTGTTCTAGATATTGTTACGGCAGCTCAAGTAACAGGGAATGAATGCAACTGCCTTAAAGTCTGGTTCTGGGAAAGAAGGAGGGTATAAATAGCTAAAAACAGCATTTTGTGTGTTTTATTTCTTCAGAGTCAATACTGATAATTAATTCCTTTTTATAAAGGTTGCAGAATGCCTTCAGAGAAATTGCCAGAACCACAAAGTGCACAGAAGAAGAAAGGAAATGTTTAGGTCAGCCTTCTCCAATCTGGTCTCTCAAAATGTCTTGAATTGCACTTCCCATCTCTCTGGGGCTAATGGTGTGGAAACATTTGAAGGCCATCTGGATTATATGAGGCCCCTTCTACACTGCCATATAAAACTGCCTTTGAACTGGATTACATGGCAGTGTAGACATGTATAATTCAGTTCGAGGCAGATAATGTGGATTAAGTGCATTGTCTTGGGCTTTGGGAAAACACCTAGAATCATATAATCAACGAGTTGGAAGAGACCTTATGGGCCATCCAGTCCAACCCCCTGCCAAGAAGCAGGAATATTGCATTCAAATCACCCCTGACAGATGGCCATCCAGCCTCTGCTTAAAAGCTTCCAAAGAAGGAGCCTCCACCACACTCCGGGGCAGAGAGTTCCACTGCTGAACGGCTCTCACAGACAGGAAGTTCTTCCTCATGTTCAGATGGAATCTCCTCTCTTGTAGTTTGAAGCCATTGTTCCTAGTCTCCAGAGAAGCAGAAAACAACCTTGCTCCCTCCTCCCTGTGGCTTCCTCTCACATATTTATACATATTTATACCTACCTTGGGTATAGGAATTCCAACAATCTTGCAAGTGAAGGAAGCAGGATAGCCTTCCAAGACACGGAAATGCTTCAGTCTCTTGTCAAAGATTGGAGCAATGCACTTCCCCGTAGGGATCTCATCATGCTGGATTTCATCATCGGATTCATCTACTGGCGTGCGTTCAAGTCGAAATTCTATTTCATTCATTAACCTCTGTTCAAAGCTGGAAATTTTGTATTCCTGAAAAAAAAAGTATTGGGAAAGAAGTCATTGTCCTTTATTTATTTATTTACTTAATTTCTACCCTGCCTTTCTCAACCCCAGAGGGAACACAAGGCGGCTTACAAATCTGGCAAAATTTTAATGCTACACAGATAAACAATAAATCACATCTCATCAAAATATAAAACAGTTTTAGATTCTCCCCGTAATCTCATTTTTTCACCTAAATTCACATTGTTTCATAATGATTAAAATTGATGAAATGTCACTATTATAATTGTTAAGTTGCCTTTTAGCATGTATTCTCTGAAACCAGCACATTCAAGGTCACGTAACAATTATAACAGTGACATTTCATCAATTTTAATCATTATGAAACAATGTGAATTTAGGTGAAAAAAATGAGAATACGGGGAGAGTGTAAAATTTCTCTTATCCACATATATATGTGCTAACCCTGGATGGTCATCTGTTGGGGGTTCTTTTCCCTTATGCATTTCCTGCATGGCAGGGGGTTGGACTGGATGGGCTACCATATGGTTTCTTCCAACTCTTTCGATTCTATGGTTCTTTTTTTATAGTTTTTTATTATTTTATCATGATTTAATACATTTGTTATACATTGTTTATTTTACAGCAGATGCAAATTATTTGATATAACCTATGATACTTTTGGCATCTAGTATTATTTTTCTGCTTATACATATTGTCTATCTCTCACCACTGTGCTCCCCACCCCTCTCTCAAGCCACAGCTTTTACATGTAATCTGTCAAAAATTTCAATTCTTCTTGTGGAGGTAGCTTTCCTTCTTTGTTTTTTAATCCTTTTTCAATAAATTTTCTCCATACACCGTCAAAATCACTTTGTTTCCATATCCCTCTTTTATTATACATGACAGCTTACCATTTATTGCCAATTTCCACACTTCCTTGTACCACTCCTCTATTTGTATATTAATTTCTTTTTTCCAGTTCCTTGCTATAAGCAGTCTTGCTATTGTTAATAAATTTGTTATCGCTTCTTTATCCTCTTTTTTCAATTGTTTATTATTATATAATGATAATAAAGCTATACTAGGACTTCTTTCTATTTTAATATTCATTATATCTTCTACTTTCTACTTTCCCTCCAAAATTATTTACATATTTACATTGCCACCACATATGTATATATGTTCCTGATTCTATGGTTCTAATCCAGTATGAAACAATGCATCTTACTGCAAATACACCATGGATAGGGACCCACTTGTTTTTATATTTCATGAAGTTGGCAATATATGGGTCTGAAGCAGCCCGTGATCACATCAGATCAGGATTATGGTGCTGGAGGAAGGAGAGTTCAATAATTTTCCTAACAGCATTTTTCTCTTGTCATGACGGCGCGAGTGACGCCACCTATGTATAGAACTGTTAGTTGTAAGATTTAAACTGTTGCATCATGCTTAATCCTGCCCCTTTTTACCCTGCTTATGTATAGTTGTATGGATTGGTTGCTTGTAGCTGTCAATCAGTACTGTTTGGCTCCACATCTTCCTGCAAGAGGGGAGAACTTCCTTTTCCTTCTCATTCTGCCATCAGAGTTCATACCAGATGGACGTGAGTAAGAGACTTGATTCTAAAGGACCCTGATTTAAGTTACCTCTTAGCACCAGTTCTGAGGTTTTTTACCCCTGGGACTCATGCTTTATGTCCAGATCATCCTGGACAATTATTGAGGAGACCCAGGCGCCTTCAAGCAGGTTCTTTTGACACCAAAGGAAGATCCTGAATCTTCAAAATATAGGCCATCTGAACTGGGGTTGTGGTTTGCTCTGTCATTCACAGCCATTGAGGAAAGAGGAAACTTGATGAGGCTTCTCAGCTTCAAACCCCTTGGACCCAGGACTAATTGAGACTGTAACGTATGTTTTCCTTCACCCCTCTAAAGTTTTCCAGCTCATTGCTTTAAAGAAATGACTTTGTGATAAATAAAACTTATTTTGAGCTATTTACAGCGTTTTGGGTTTTTGGGAGTTCCAGTTTCCTATAGGAGGGCAAGAAGCAATCCCCTGGGGGAAATATGCCATGTCCATCCCTCCTTTATTGAGAATAATAGCCCCCAGGTGCGACAGCACACTTGTTTTTAATGGTCATCAAGTCAACTTCGACTCATAACCACCGCATGAGTGGGAGACCTCTAAGTCATCCTGTCACCAACAGTTCAGGTCTTGCAGACACAGGGATGTGGCTTTATTGAAGCATCTATTCATCTGGAAAGTAGTTTTCTTCTTTTCCTGTTGCCTTCTATCTTACCAAGCATTACTGTCTTTTCTCGTGAGTTATGTCTACCTGTGACATGACCAAATAACTACAGTTTCAGTTTAGTTTTATTGGCTTTCAGGGAAATTTCAGGTTGCTTTAGGATCCACTCTTTATTTTTGTTTTTTAGCAGTCCATAGTATCTGTAAAACTCTTCTCTAGCACCAAATTTCAAATGAGTTGTTTTCTTCCTCTTTCTTTTTTGTATGTTTCTATTTTATAATCATACATAGAAATGGGAAATACCATGGTCTGGATAATCCTAATATAGTATTTAATGATCTTTACTTCACTGTTGTTTGCCTTCTAGTCATTTCCAAATTAGGGTGACCCTAAGGCAACCCTATCAGCCCCTATCTGCGGCTGAGAGTGTGTGACTGTGCCCAGGGTCACCCAGTGGGTTTTCATGGCAGAGAGGGGATTCAAACCCTAGTCTCCAGAATCATTGTTCACTACTCAAACAACTATGCCATGCTTCTCTATCCAAAGGTAAATGATTTTTGACTCGTGGTAGTGAGGGAACACAATATGAAGTTGTTTGTTATTGATACATTTTCCTCTGTAGGGCAAACAGCTTTAGAGATGAGAGTGGAACATATTTTACTGGTAATATGGGGGAAAGGTTTGAATCCCTACTTTCCAAAGCTGTGCTCCTTTCCCTCTTCCTTTTAACAGTGGGAGATCCTAATTGGGGGGTGCTGAGTCCCCCTTCCAGGGTTGAGAAGGGCGGGGTAGAAATACTAGAAATAAATAAATCAATACAGATCTTCTGATTTACAATTTGCTTGACTTCAAAAAAGTGGCATTCACAAATACACAGAGCTATGACAGACACATCTATGAAACAGAGTGAGTTCAGCCACTAGATGGGGGACTCAATGCACCTTTGGACGGTGATGCATTGTGGATTTTCACCAGCTGGCAGGCAACACCCTGGCTTATAGAATTTCACCTTGTTTAGTTTTCTCTTTCATGTAGCATGCGTCAGCAAATTGCTCAACAAAATGGGCCGAATTCCCATCTCAGTTACTTGCTTCTGATGGGTTGTTACAGAATGTGTTTAAAAATAGAAAGGCATGCACCTCTGATAACTCCCGGCTGAAGGCATTTGTTCCAGGGCAAGGGTTTCCGGAAAAATTAGTCAAATGCTACACATCCTGCCTTGAGATGTAACCCCCACTCCAACTATTTTTAGGGATAGAAACTCCCAGAATTCGTTGGATGATACCTATACTGGAGGAGGGGATTTTGGAAACTAATTCTGAAGCCACTTTCCTAAGCTCTGATCAAAAAAAGGCTTGTCAGAATACTTCAGGGTATTCCTGAAGAGTACTTCTGTACATTTTAAAGCTGATATTCCAACAGCACTAATTTCCAATTCAGGGAGAGAGAGAAAGAGAAAGAGAAAGAGAAACAGAAACAGAAACAGAAAGAAAACACTAAGTATATTTTGGTCCTGGCTAATACCCTCCAATAGTTGTACTTTCTGAATGGGAGTCAGCAACATTTATAAATCTGCTTTAGTTCATTAATTAGTAGGATGATTTAATGACTCTCACACCAATGGACTTCCCAACTCACTTACACCAGTGCAAGAGCCATTTCTGCTTCTTCATCAGTTCTGTACTGCCAAAATTGGTATCTCTCCAAAATCATAAACACTGTAATTGACGTGCTTAATAGATACTTAACATGTTACTTTCCCTTTTCCCAACAGCACAGTATCGGTTTTCTAACTGAACATCTTTTCCCAACTATAAATTAAAAACAAATCCTGGAATACTGTTGAATACTGGCCTCATCCCAGCTTAATTTAGAGATTGTGCTGATTTGACCTGTTATATCTGGGATTTTGGGCACATCCAGACAGGCCCATATCTTGAAACATGTCGCGGTTTGACCGGCGGTGTCCAAACGACGCCTCTGGTAAAACCAAATCAATTAAACACCTTATAAGATCCAATCATAGGTAAGATCCGGGTCTTACTAGGTGTGGGCCCTGTGTGGATTGGGCCTGGGGACCATCCCCGGGCCAAATCCACACAGCCTTCTTAGTTTTTCAGGCTCCAAGAGCCTGAAAAACCAAGAGGTCACCTATCTCCTCCTCCCAAACCTCAAGAAGCCCTTAAAAGTAATTTTTTAAAACAAGGCTGCCATTATGATCCTCCTCACATCTTCCAGTTGCAAGGAAATTATGTGGCTGAAGAAAGGAGAGGAGCTTCTTTTGGGAGGCTTTGGGGTGACTGCATGAAAAACTGGGTTTTTCGGGTATGAGGCATGGGTTTAAGTGATGTCTGGAAGTGCCCTTAGAGTTCATCTACACTGTAGAATGAATGCAGCTTGATACCACTATCAGCCATGTCTCAATGCTATAGAATTGTTTATGAGGCACCAGCACTCTTTGGCAGAGAAGGCTGAAGACCTTGTAAAACTAAAACTTCCAGGATCCCACAGCATTGCACCATGGTGGTTAATGTGGTGTCCCACTGCATTCATTCTACAGTGTAGATGTACCCTTAAACACAAGTGGCTGGGAATAAATATGCATGATAAATATGCATGATAAATATGCATATGATAAATATGCATGATAAATATGCATGATAGCCCATTTGTATTATTATTATTATTATTATTATTATTATTATTATTATTATTATTAATAATATAATAATGATAATAACTTTATTTTTATACCCTGCCTCCATCTTCCTGG